CTTTTTGGGCACCCAAATGCAAACACATATGCATACACATGGTTATAAATAAAATAAATATTAAAAGGGGGACCATAAGTCAGAAAACACCAGTCTTCTCACTAGCAATTCTAGATGCCAAATGGCAATAGAACAATGCGGCCAAAGATCTGAAGGAAAAAGACTTTCAATTTAAACTTTAATACCAGCTAAACTGTCTATTGGGACTGGGGTAAAGAGATTTTAAAAACACCCAAGCAGGGTGCTGTAAGTATGGTTCCAGCACTCAGGAAGCAGAAGTGGGTGGATCTCTGTGAGTTCAAGGCCAGCTTGGTCTACAGAACCAGTTCTAGAACAGCCAGGACTACACAGAAAAACCCTGTCTTGGAAAACCAACCAACCAACCAATCAACCAACCAACCAACCTACCAACCAACCAACCAAAATTCAAAGCCCAACAACAACAACACCCCCACGAATTAAGAATATTTGCTCCCCAAACACTCTTAGGAAGTTACTTCAATATTTGTTGTAGTAAACAAAGGAGAAAACAAGAAAAGAGAAACACTGATATTTCTCAGCTTATAAATTACCTTAATTTGTAATTGTAATTAGCTAATCCGTTGTCTCTTCTCTTTGTGAGGCTTGTGTAGCAGGGCTATATTCATTCTGTAATATGAGTTTTCTGTTTGTTTGTTTGTTAGTTAGTTTTTAATGCTTTGAATGTGATTGTCTAGAGATATTCTTTTGAAGGTTGGGGACAGAGAATAAAGAAACAATGTCCCTTAGATCTTTTTAAGAAAGCAGTTTTTAGCCAGGGGGTCGTTGTCCATGCCTTTAATTTCAACACTGGGGAGGCAGAGGCAGGTGGATCTCTATGAGTTCAAAGCCAATCTGGTCTACAGGATGAATTCCAGGACAGCCGGTGCTACAAAAGAGAAACCCTGTCTCAAAAATGCAGTTCTTTGACAATAATTTTTCTTCTTTCTTTCTTTCTTTCTTTCTTTCTTTTTCTTTCTTTTTTTTTTTTTTTTTTTTTTTGGTTTTTGGTTTTTGGACACAGGGTTTGGCTGTTCTGGAATGACACAGGGTTTGGCTGTTCTGGAACTCAGTCTGTAGACCAGGCTGGCCTCGAACTCAGAAATCCGCCTGCCTCTGCCTCCGCCTCCCAAGTGCTGGGATTGTAGGTGTGAGCCACCACCACCCGGCGACAATAATTTTTCAATGGCTTCTTTTATTATTATTCTTTGACCTTGGTATCGGGTTATTCTTTGTTCAATACTCTCTTTCGTTACTTAAAGGAATCTACTTTGTCAATTTCAAATAAGTTCCAAAGTTTGCATTTCAGAGCAGCAGGGCAAGAGGTGCTTATAGCTAAAGAGATAAAAACACACCTACTGCAGGAGGGATAGAGGAAGGGTATGCTAGCTGTCCCTTTGTCTCCTGCCTGTGGTTCTCTGAGGCTCAGGAGCAATCAAAGACACTCTCTAGGGTTCAGTCCTGGTGACACCTCAGAGCTCCACACTGCCCAGAACAACCTACCCCTAGATTTCCTGTCAGACAAGAAAAACATTCCCTTTGTAGTTTCAGTTACCAATGGTTTCGGTCCTTTGTAGCAGATTCGCTTTCAATCGAAATACTCTCAAACGTATGAGCTGCTTCCTGGAACACGGGTGTTTTTAGATTCTGTGAAAAGTACCGAGTGCACTGATGGCTGGTATAAAGAGAGACAACTTTCTCCCCTTTCGTTTCCCCATCTGCCCATAGGTCAGGATCCGGCATCCTCTTGGAGGTTTCCGGGGAAGAAACTTTCAGAAGACCATCTTTTTGTTGCTGTTGTTGTTTTACGATTTATTTATTTTTCTTTTATGTGCATGAGTGTTTCGCTGGCATGTGTGTTTGAAGGTGCCAGACTCCCTAGAACTGGAGCCACAGATAGTTGTGGGCTACCATTTGGTTGCTGGGAATTGAACTCAGGTCCTATGGAGGAGCAGCCAGTGCTCTTAACCGCTGAGTCATCTCTCCAGCCCCTCGTAGGACCATCTTGATGTCCTGTCAAGGATTCCCCACTATGAAAGCAGGTGGGTCGTCCTGAGTGTGGGATGTTGGGAAAGGAAAGTGGAACTCGGAGCTTGCACACCTGTCTGTTCCTGGTGCTCTCTAAGACTGACCTGTCTGGAGTAGCGTGCTCCTGCCTCTTCTGGGCATCAGCTCCGAGAGAACCCAGCTCTTGCTGGGGAGAACTTGAATAGTCCAGTTACTGAGTTGGAGAATTATTTCAAAGGCCGCGGTGTGAGAATGAGAAATCCATTTGGGCTTTAAGTCCTAGCCATATCCTCCAGTCCTTCTGGCCCCCAAAGAAAGCTGTTTCTCAATTGGGTCAAAATCTGAAATGAGGGGTGTGACCAACCAGCACCCACAAACCCCAACTTCTGTTGAGTATTTAGTCATAGTGGGAAGTCTCAAGATTGAAAGTTTAAACATTCGTTTAAAATGTTTGATGATTTTAGACTCTAGTTCTTTAGGTTCCGTAGTTAGAGTATCTTTGGATCTTACCGTTCGATGTATTTAGCTATTTATTTGATGTTTTGCCTGTGTGTATGTCTGTGTATCAAAGTGCCTGGTGCCCTCAGGGCCAGAAGTGAGTGCCCAACTCCCAGGAACTAGAGTTATGGATGGTTTTGAGTCGTGTGGGCCCTGGGAATAGAACCTGGGTCATCTACAAAAAGAATAGGTGTTCTAAACTTCTAAGCTATTTCTCTAGTCCTCAGAATATTTAAATTTTAATTTAAATTATTATTTTTTAAAAGATTTATTTATTTTATGTATATAAGTACGCTGTAGCTATCTTCAGACACACACCACAAGATGACACCGGATCCCATTATAGATGGTTGTGAGCCAACATGTGGCTGCTGGGAATTGAACTCAGGACCTCTGGAAAAGCAGTCAGTGCTCTAAACCACTGAGCTATCTTTCCAGCTCCATTAAAAAAAAAAAACTTTTCTTTCTTTTTCTCTCTTTCTTTAATGTATATGAGTGTTCTATCTGCATGTACACCTGCATGCCAGAAGAGGGCATCAGATCCCATTATAGACAGTCGTGACCCACCACACAGTTGCTGGGAATTGAACTCAGGACCTCTGGAAGAGCAACCAGTGCTCTTAACTGCTGAGCCATCTCTCCACCCAAGGACTGGGAGTTATGAAACCCTCTTATATTATGACCACTAACGTTCTCTGTGGCCTGATGTTTCTGAGCTGTGATTTTACTGGTTATCAAACTAGAGCATTAGACTACGTGGGTGGGGGCGGCCATGCTAACCTTTAACAGTCCTGTACTCATTCAACGCTTTTTTTTTCGTGCCTGTATTGTTGAACACTAGAGGCTGATCATCCAAGATTATATAAAACCAACCAGCTAGCTACAAGGGATGGTGTCCACTTGTAATCCCAGTACTCTGAAAGCTGAGGCAGGAGGATTGCTGTAAATTTGAGAATACCTTGGGATATGTGGTACCAGTCCAACTAGGGCTTTTAGCAAGAACTTGTCTGGAAAAATGAGCAATCAAACCCCACAAAACAACCAAACAAAACCAGGCAAGTAGGCAATTAAACTAACAAGCAAAAGCCAACACAGCCAGGGATGGCTGGGAGGGTGGAGTCTCCTGGAAGCAGCAGACCACACAGCAGCAATCACCGGCTTCTTATTCTTTTAATCACTGTAATTGTAAAACATGAACAATTGGATCAGATACACATTCCTATTGGCTATCACTCATCCATACTCATGGAAAACCTTGCCGGCTGGTCCAGCAGCCACACATGGAGGTGCCACTGATTATACAGCTGTGTTCCAGCCACTGTGCTTGGGAAACAAGAGAGAGGCTTTCAAAGGGCTAGATTTCTGATTTTGAAAAAAAAAAAAGAAAAAAGGGCTAAGCATTTTTTAAAAAGTTACAAATGAAGAACATGTTTGTTGCAAAAGTTAAGCAATACAGAAAGAAAGAATGAGCTTCCCCTTCCCCCCCCCTCCCCTCCTTGCTCACTTAGAAAATAGCAATAATGGACCTAGGAGGAGAGAGACAGAGCTCTACTGTACCTGTGATGTAGCCCTGTGTGTGTCAAATAAGTATCTGGTAACTAAATTAATGCTAAGCAGAAGTCCTACACAAAGATCATATATGTCTATTCAATTAAAATTTGTTTTTGTTATTTTGTACATGCCAGTGTGTATAAGCTAAGTAGGTGCAGTGCCCGAAGAGCCTAGAAGAGGGAGGTGGAACCCCTGGAATTGGAGTTAGGCAACTGAACAGTGTGCCATGGGTGCTGGGAATTGAACTGAGGTCCTTTGGGAGAACAGAAAGCACACTTTTTTTTTTAAAAAAAAAAAAGAGATTTATTTATTTATTTTATGTATACAAGGACACAGCAGCTGTCTTCAGACACACCAAAAGAGAGCATTGGATCCTATTACAGATGGTTGGAAGCCATCATGTGGTTGCTGGGAATTGAACTCAGGACCTCTGGAAAAGCAGCCAGTGAGCCATCTCTCCAGCTCCAGAAAGCACTCTTTAGCCTTTATATATTTGAATATTGTAGAGGACAGGAGTAGTCACAGCACTTGGCAGGCAGGTCTCTTGAGTTTGAGGTCAGCCTGGTCTATAGAGTGAATTCCAGGACAACCACTAGTGAAACTCTGTCTCAAACACACAAACATCAAAACAAAACAAAAAAACTAAACAACAAAACCAAAAGACAACCAACACCCCCTGCACAAAAAAGAAACAAGCTTACATTTGTTTTCCTCTTTGCATCTGCCCTGGTGTGGATGAATGTGATCTTATTTGGAATACAGTTTTAACAGATGTGATCAAAGTCGAGGAAGTCTGGCTTGCCCGCAAACCTTGGATTCTGGACTTGCCATTGTCAGAAGGATAACATGATGATTTTCTGTTGTTTTCAGCCATTTGGTCGTGGCCCTTCGCCCTGGGTAAAGAATCTACGCTATGGTATCTTTGGTTGCTTTCAGTTGTTGAGCTGTAATGAATGATGACGCCTGCTATGGTATTTTCTGGGCTTCATGGACTGTCTGGACCAGCAACCCTAGAAATTTGTTCTCTCCAGGAAGCCTTTGGAACAATCATAGACGAAAGCCTGGGGGCTCTAGCCTCCCCATAACCCTGGCTACATTGTCAACTAACACCCAGGACACCTGTATCCTATTTGGGATGTATCCTCCACTAAAAAAGCCTTTGTTGCTCATTTGAAATGCAAATTTCACGGGGCTTCTGGATTTTTTATTTGCTAAATCTGGCACCTCTAATCCTTTGGCTGTGGGGCAACTAGCACTGTTACCAAGAAGGAGCCCTGGGAACCTTCTTTGTTTTGCGCTCTTTATTTCCTGACTGAAGCTGCTTTGGAAGAGTCTGGGCTCCTGCACTCTCCGCTAGTACCCTGTCTGTGCACAGTGGCACTCACTTCCCCAGGACCCAGCCCATGTAAAGAGGACCCTATATAATCCACACAGTCTCCCTCCCCCCACCCCCGCCCACTTCTCACCTTCACACAGCACTTTGTTTTGGTTTGTTTTTGTTTTTTAAAGACAGAGTTTCGCTGCCTCCCAAGTGTTGGGATTAAAGATGTCCACCACCACCACCACCATCACCACCACCATCACAATCACCACTGCCTGGCTCGGCATGACCATAGTCTGACTACTCCTAGCTTGCCCTTTCTGCCTCTCTCTCCTCCACTGGCCTTGCAAAGGTGGGTTTGCTTTGTCCAAAGGACAGAACTTGCTCATGATGTTCAAGTGTGTGGCGAGCCTGTGAGAGGAGTGCCTCGCAGTCCTGCCTTCCTTTAAGAATTGCCTGAGGTCTAGTTAAAGATGCTACTCCACGAGGCTCGAGAGTTAACTCAGTGGTTAAAAGCACCTGTTGTTGCAAAGGACCTGGGTTCCCTCCTTGGGCACTAGATGTGAATGTGGTGTACCAATGTTTATGCAGGCAAAGTACACATAAAATAAAAATAAACAAATAATATATAAATAAATTAATTGAAATAGCTGCTACTACACTCTCGCTGCGGGGTAGTGGCTCACACTTGTAATCCCTGTACTTGAACACTAGGAATGCTCAGGTAGATAGATCATAGTGAGTTTCAGGTCTAGCCTGGGTTACAACCTGCCCTGGAGCTACAAAGTGAGACCCTGTCTTTTAAAAATTAAAAATAAATAAATGAAAGGTCTAAAAAGAAGAAGAAAAAGAGAGAGGAAAAAAAATCCTCTCTTGATTGGCATCAGACATTCCCAAGGAATGGGTCATTGTTCTGTAAGGCCCTAGCCTTGTCTGCAAGAACGTTTGCTCTGATGTGCTCTGAGTTCTGCAGTCTCCGTGGGAACCTGGCAGGAGAGGTTTGGAATCAAGGAGAGGGAGAGCAAGGATAGGAGGGAGGACAAGAGGCTGAGAGCCAGAGAGGAAGGGAGAGCGTGGTGTAGCTGAACAGGAATGCAGGAAGCTAAGAGACAAAAGGCCTCAACTGAGGCCTGAGAAAGGAGCCTACGCCACATCTACTCGGACCTTGTTGGCCGATTTAGAATTCAGCCTAAAAAGCAACAAGAAAAGCCTTGCTTGGAGCAGGGAGGCAACTAAGCCCCTTTCAGAGGTGAGCCTGGGGTTGCCTCCTCTTTGGGACATTTGGCTTCTAGAACATCACACTGCTCCTCCTACAATCCCCCAACCCCTAGTCTGACAAAGAGCCCCCGGACCGCGCAGACTCAGCAGGGGCTTTGTGTGCCGCCAAGAGAGTGGTGGGCATTTCATGCTTTCCATGACTCAGGCAGGGGACCGTGCTTATGAGAAGTAGATACAGGCATTCAGGACAGAGCTAGAACATTTCCATATTAGACAAGCAACTCCAGCAAATATTGTTTTTGTTACTGAGACGATGCTATAAATGTTCGAGTATGTGGTAGGCATACCACACGTCCTCCTGTGAGCTCCCTCGAGTGTGGGCTGGACCTAGAGACTTGCTTTCTAATGAATAAAACATGGCAGAAACGCGAGAGAGATGTCCTTTTTGAGACTAGACCCTGGAAAATCGGGATTCTTAGCTTGCTTGCTCTTACTCATTCCCTACAGCCCGTGCCTTTATTTGCTGTGAGCTGCCATGTGAGGGCCGTCCCACGTAGAGACCAGCGTGCCAAAGACCAGAGATGGTGAGAAGACAGAGGCCTTCAATCCAACATCCCACAAAGAACTGGATCGTGCCAACAGCCATGTGTGAGATCTTGGAGGTGGATCCTTCCCTGGCAGAGCCCCGGGGACACCATGACTGAGACTTGCAGCTGCCACACCTGTATCCATCACTGCAGGAACTGAGATAACTGAAGTTCTTGTTTAGGACACTCACCCTTTGGGGGGCTCAGTTACATTGTTGCAGGCAACTCTGACTGGGAAAGGTCAGCCATACCCCTTCCATTCTCCCTTATACGTTTTCTTTTCTTTCTCTCCTTTTTTTGTTTTGTTTTGTTGTTGTTGTTGTTGTTGTTGTTTTTCGAGACAAGGTTTCTCTTTGTAGCCCTGGCTGTCCTGGAACTCACTCTGTAGACCAAGCTGGCCTCGAACTCAGAAATCCGCCTGCCTCTGCCTCCCAAGTGCTGGGATTATAGGTGTGTGCCACCACTGCCCGGCTCTTTCTCTCTTTTTAAAAGATGCGTATTTTCTATGTTGTGAAGGACAGGATCCGGCATGGTCTCCTGGAGCACAGCCTTGTCGGTGGAAAGTGAGTGCTTCCTAGACCGACTCAATCTTTTGCATGTGCATTTCATGAGTTGAAGCCACGGTAGGGGCACTAACGTTGAAGATTTTTCTTACCATTTTTCAGTAAGGAGGTGGAGTGATAACTGAATATCTAGGTTCACGGTCTGTTTCTGGTGCTCTCAGGCTACATCGGTAAATAGAAACTGTATGCCTACTGGGCTGGCAAGATGGATCAGAAAGTAAATGTTTGGGCCAGAACCCGAGTTTGCTCCCGGGGACCCACAGTGGGGACCGAGAACTGACTCCAGAAGTCCAGAAGGTCCTTGACCTTCACTTTGGTCCTATGGCATTCATACCTCTGTAATCACACGCATATTACACACACACATACACACTAAAGTATCAAAAAGGAAACCCTACCTATTATCTTAATTAAAATTTACACGAGCAGCTAGCTGGCTTAGCAACCAGCAGTGTGGAATAACTGAACAGCATTAATAATCAATACTCAAAACTGTCCTGGAAAACTCTATGTCTTACTGCAAGACCCAGGGCCTTAGGACCCCCAAAAGTCAAGAACGATTAGGGTTATTATCATTGTTGCTTTCCAGTTTCCCTTCCATTTCCTCAGAGCACTGGGATTATCTTGGACAGGAGCAGGAGACTCCTTCCCCCACAAGCATGGTTGGTTGAATAGCTGTTAGGTGGGAGGGCCCAGGGATTTGAGGTATAGATGAAGTGCTGTGCTCAGGCCTGGCCGGTCCACAGCTGTGTTTTCCCAGGCTTGATTGCCCATTGTGCAGACACTCCAGTTTTCGGAAACCACTTCCCTGTTTTGGTTCCCAGATTTTGACCTTTAAAGAAAGACTTCCATGCATGTATTTATGCAGATTAATGCTTGGCTTCCATTGGAATTGTTTCCCTGGGATAAATTCCCAGGAATGAGCTGACTAGGTCAAAGGGGGTAGAAGAGCTTTATGCCTCTTGTTAGGAATTGCTTTATTGCTTTCTAACGACATCAGAGACTGCTCAACAGCAATGGTTTACAAACTGTGAGGGGTCAACTTCAGGGCAACACGTTATTCACACCCAGAAAATCAACTCCCAGGTCCTTCACAGCTACCCAAGGAGAAGTCACAAATGGGGTTCGCCACCCAGCATTCTGGACTGAGCCATAGGATGTCAGAAAGTCCAAGCCCCGGGGAGCAGAATGGATGCTGTCCAGCTTGAACTGTTAATGACAGGTCTTGAGTTTGAATTCCTCTCTCTTCTGAGGCAGGGTCTCAGCCCAGTATGATCTCAACTAATAACCAATACTAATCTTTAACTCCTGATCCTTCCTGCCTTCTTCTCCTGAGTGCTGGAATTTATAGACCCTGGTTGGCTCTGAGTTAGAATTATGACTTTGCCACTGAATACCCCTAGACAAGTTACTTTAACTGTTTGAGACATTATTTTTCTTTGCTTTTTATAGGGCAAAAACCGATAGTGATTCTGATCCCCATAAAAACGAGAGGAGGGCCCAGAGAATTGGATCTGCAGCTAAGAACACTTGTTCTTGAAGAGGACCCAGGTTTTATTCCCAGCACCCACGGGGCTCACAACTCCAGTTTCAGGGGATCTGATACTGTCTTCTTACCTCCGAGGGCACCAGGCACAGATGTGGTACACATGTAGGCAAAACACCCCTGGACATAAAATAATAAATCTATAAAAAGATTTAAAAGGGAATGGGGAGACAAAATGAAGTATTATTTATTATGGAGCAAGAGATGGGCACAGGGCTAGGTGGTAAATGTTCCGTCGGCATGCAGAGATTCATTTCTACCACATAGTGGCTCAACCTCAGTTTCCATCTCAGGTCTGTGTGCCTCCTCCTCTGCTGAGTTTCCGTAAGAGGCCTCATGTCATGTTCTCCAAAATTTCTCCCAGCATCTCCTTGTCTCTCTGAGGCCAAATAGTAGTAATCTTGGCCCTGAAACCTTAAGTCTGATAGTCTTTGGATGCCCCCTTGTGGACAGTTGTTTTCATTCGTGTTCTCTCAGCTAAAGGGTGTCTGTGTGTGTGTGTGTGTGTGTGTGTGTGTGTGTGTACTCTGTTTCCAGATAAAATAAGAAGGATATCCCTTCACCTTCCTTGCTGGCTAAGGAAGGATGGCTTTACAGACTCTCAGCTTGCCTGCATGTGTAGATGGGAGAGCTGCGTGTGCTCCCACGGCGTCAGGGGATCCGACACCGTTGTCTTACCTCTGAGGGCACTAGGCACAGATGTGGTACACATGTAGGCTAAACACCCCTGCACATAAAATAATAAAATGATAAATAATGGGTGTGTTCTCATGTGTGCACTGATGCATGTACATCTGATGTACTTCTTCCCACGTAATTGTTTGAGCAAGGCCAGTGTTAGACACTCTGATCACTTCTGCTCGTTCAGATGGACAGTCATCAAGTACCTACTCTGTACTTCTGAAGAAACACCAGTGATCAAGACAGAATTATTTCTACCCCTTCACTATTCGATCAGCTAGTCAGCCAAGTACATCACTACATCCCAGAGTCTCGTAAACTGCAGGGAAGCTGGCTGGCAGAGGAGACTGCAGCTGATCCATGACAATGTGGGTCCCCTGGCTCCCCCTCGTCTGTGGGGTTTGTATGAAGGACACGCACGAGGTTTCAGAAGACAGCAAGACCGTTTCTGAGTTTCTTCTGGCTTACACCAGGGGCTTTGGACACGATACCGCACATATTCTATCAACTTTGATGTTTTCTGATCTTTATTCACTCTGCCTGAGGAATTCTTTTTCTTCCACCCTTCAGTCACGCTCCACCCGCTTCCCTGAAGAAATGAAAACCAGATTGCGTGGTTTGAGGAGGAAAACTGGCATCCTCAACCAGCCATGGGTGTGCATTTCTGTACTCCCACCCTGCCTTGCTGGGAATCTCCAGCTGCCCAGAAGTAACATGCTCAAGCCAGTGAGGGTGAGGGGGGCGGGAACTGAACGGTGGTGAGTGTCTCATGAGCCCTGTTCCTTTGGCATTTGGCCATTTGAGAGTCCCAGTGGGGATACCACCAAGCTTGTGAAATCTCAAGTCCAGTTCAGCAAAGTGCACACTCATCTGGGACTTCTGTGGTGCCCCAGCTGGGCATGTAAGAAGAGCCTTCTGCTCTGAAGAGGATCCAGGAAGCTCTCAGATAGAAAGGTGATAACAAGGAAGTTGTTTGGTGTGGGTACTGTAGGGGTGAAGGTGTGACCAGAACACTGAGTTGTCCTTTCTGTTGACATTAGTCTAGGAGAGAATGTCAGATAGGTGCCAAAGGCCTGTGAGGTGACTCTACAGTTGATTATAATCAGGATATATAGTTTACTGAGTGACTTTGGCCAAAAAAACTAAGTTTAATTTTTCCGAGTTTGGTTGAAAGGGCTATCACGTATGCTGGGTGGTGGTGGCGCACGCCTTTAATCCCAGCACTTGGGAGGCAGAGGCAGGCGGATTTCTGAGTTCGAGGCCAGCCTGGTCTACAGAGTGAGTTCCAGGACAGCCAGGGCTACACAGAGAAACCCTGTCTCGAAAAACCCAAAAAAAAAAAAAAAAAAAAAAAAAGAAAGGGCTATCACTGAGCACTGGCAGTGTCTTTCTATCTGTCTGTCTGTTTGTCTTTCTTTCAGATTTTGAAATAGGATTTTGTTGTTTCCCAGGCTGGCCTTGAATTCACTCTGCAGCCTGGGCTTGAATTTGTGATTATGTGACCTCAGGCCCCTGTGGAGACACTATGAGGGTGGCTTGACATAGGAAGTATGAGAGGGTTTATCTTCAGGGCACACAGGCATTAGAACCCACATAAAAAAGCCATGCCCCTGTAACCTCAGCTTTGGGAAGGTAGAAAGGAGGCTCTTGGGGGCTTGCTGCCCCAACCAATCAGTTCAGTTCAGGGAGAAACCCTGTCTCAAAAACTAATGTGGAGAGTAGTTGAGAGGAAGTACTCAGGGTTAGCCTCTGGCCTTACAGACATGCACACATATATGCAGCCACATAGGCACACCTAAGTACACATGCACATAGACACAGACAGACACACATACAAAGACACAGACAGGCAGACAGAAAGACACAGTCAGAGAGAGAGAGAGAGAGAGAGAGAGAGAGAGAGAGAGAGAGAGAGAGAGAGAGATCCTAGCACCAGGAGGCACTCCCAAAGTTGGTAACAATTTATATTGGTCTGGATAGGATAGGCTAACTGGTCTAACAAACAGGTCCAAGAATAGCTAACTTCTTAGAGACAATAAAGTGCTCCTTGTCCTATACCAGGACATACCAGAGTAGGCAGTGGAGCTGTTCAGAGATCAGCTTGCTGACAGTCTGCCACCTTCGTTCAGTGGCTTCCAAGAGCATGTTGGCCATGGGTGTCAGGCTAGTCGACAGGGAAGAGAGAATGAAGGCATGCCAGCTTTGTCTCAGAAGGGACACCTCTGCTCACATCCCAGGGGTGAGAGCCCATCATGTGGTTCCATCTGAACACTGTGGGCTCTTGGGAGATATGGTCCCTGGTTGATCACTCCATTCCCAGTGTCAAGCCTAGACACTGTGAAGGGAAGGAGTCTTCAGGAGACAAGCATATATACTGCTATGACTGTTGCTACCTTCTTCCAGTACAAATTGTCAACAGCCCTGGGTGGGTCACAGTGTTTATGGGTATATGTCTATGTGTTTGTGTGTGTGGGTCAGTTTTAAAATAGGGATGGGGGAAGTGTTTTCTGTTTGGGGATCAGGCATTGCTGCTCAGGGTGGAGTACAGGAGTTGGGGGATCATCTGAGTCAGGATTTCCCCAGGGTGAGCCAGCAGCCAGCAGGGAGGACACAGGTCACAGGGAGTCACAGGACTCCCATGACCAGCCAGGAGGCAGGAAAGCACAGGCCTGGAGAATCTGTGGTGGAAAGAGGCAGAGAGGTGAGTTGGGGGCCCACCAGGAAGGCCTGGAATGTCAAGATAAGGGCATGGAAATCAGGAGTCATGCCTGGTCTCCAGGCAGTGCAGTCTGGGAGAGTGGGTGCTTATGAGAGTAAGAAACAAGAAATGGAGAAGGAGACTGTGAGGATGGAGACTGAGAAATGGGGGTGTGTGAGGGGGTGGGTGAGGCAAGCAGAGGGGAAGGAGGAGGGACAAGATGGGGGCCTTGACCCGACCTGGTGTTCACTCCTGCATTCCCTAGGCAGTCACCTAGCAGCCCACTTCCAGTGGGTTGCCTGCTTGGGGCCCAGCTCCCTTCAGCCCTGCGTGCTGGGAGAAGCCTTATCTCCCTTTGTCAGCTTTGTTCTCCTTCCAGGAAGGAAGTGCCTCCAGTGGCCCGTGGGTGGGACATTCCTTGGCTTTGCTTACTGTTCCCAGATTTTTTCATGATTCCTGGTGACAGAGCTGGCATCTCTAACCAGCCTTGGAGAGGGCCAGAATGCTTCTCAGGAACACACCGAACCCAAGGAAGCCAGAGTTGTGGTTTTCAGCTACCCCAGCCCTCTGGGTGCAAAAGACACCTCCAAAAGGGCAAAGCCTGGGCTGGAAAACATGCTGCGGGCACAGGGACTGGGGAGAAAGGACAGAGAACTGCACAGGCCATGAAGTGCCACCAATGAGGCTGTGCCTGTAAAGAAGGAAAATTGACCTTGGAGGAGGTGACATTTGTAATGGCCCGTGACATAGGTTTCTGTTGGCTGGGTTGGTAGAAGTTGGGAGAAGGAATTGGAAAGTAGGGGAGACTTGGGATTTCTTAGGGGAACATGAATTGGTGCAGGTTTTATCTGCTAGGTAGGAAGTCAAGAGGACCCTGGGATGTAGTGGGTCCAATGAAGGAGCAGAGTTAGGATAAGAGCCTTGTACATCATCGAGCAGGCAGTCTAGATTCTAGGCTTCTGGTTGGGGGGGGAAGCCATATGCTGCACCGGGATCTCCTCTTTATTTAGAACACTTCTCCCAGCTGCCTCTGCCCTGACATGAGATCCTTCAGACTTCAGGGCATTTCTGGAAGTTGATCTAGGGATAGCCACTGCCTTGCAATTGCACAGACCACATCTAGAGGCCAGAAGACTTGGGGACAGGAAGGTTCTCCTCTGCTCTCAAGAATCCATTCAATGTTCCCAGAGCTCCCAAGGACTAAACCACCAACCAAAGAGCACACATGGAGGGACCCATGGCTCCAGCTGCACATGTAGCAGAGGATGGCCTTATCTGGCATCAATGGGAGGAGAGGTCCTTGGACATAGGGGAATGCTAGGGTGGTGAGGTGGGATGAGTGGGTGGGTGGGGGAGCATCCTCATAGAAGCAGGGGGGAGGGGTTTGCCGAGGGGAAACTAGGAAAGGAGATAACATTTGAAATGTGAATAAATAAAATAACCAATTAAAAAAAATCAGTTCAGGTTCACCCAAAAGGCTCGTGGTCCTAGAAAACATCAGGGTAGTATAGAAAGAGAACCGAGGAGGCTGGGGCTTGTCCCGCTTGGTTGGCTGGGACCTGGACTTATTAGTAAGCACCTCTGGGCCTTAGTTTCCTCAGTGTGACATGGCCAACAGTGCCGTCTGTTTGTAGTAAAATGAGGTCACTGCTTTGGTCTACGCACAGTTGTGTTTAATAAATATTAGTTTCCCTCAAATTGGGATTGGCATGGGTGGGGAGGGTGGGTGGGTCAGTGATCCGTGCTGCAGATAGCTCAGCTGGGACAGTGTTAGGGAGGCGACTTGGATCCTTCAGACCTGGCCCTGTACTTTCTGGGAGGAGTGAGGTTCCTTCTCAGGCCTCCCTGTCCCTTCCTGCTCCTTTGATATCAGGAGGGCCACTTAAGGCCCCAGGGTCTGTGCTATTCTTCCTGTTGGAACATCAAGTGCCACCCAACCTACCTGGCAGGAGTTATCTGGCTCTAGAGGCTGTGGGTCCCTAGGAGTGGTGGACTTGGCACAGGATAGCAAGGAGGCTGGGAGGAGGACCACAAGCCCAGGCTGGCCCAGCAAAAGGGTAGACATCCAGGCCACCAGCAGGTGCTCCCTTGCTAACTTGCTATCTCCCATTTCCCCCCACCGCTGGCTTTCCTGATACTAGAGTCGACAAGAGCTTGTAGGACAAAGCTTCCTTGCCAAAGTCCATGAGAAGGGGGTGTCGGGGGAGCCCCTCTGGTTTTTCTGATATTCTTGGAAGGAGGCTGAACAGACTCTTGGCCTCCTGTCTCCAGACCTGGCAGGTGGCAGTGGTACCAGAC